GCGCTCCGCAGGGCTGGCGGGATCCCAGGGCTGGGCTGGCAGGGGCTGCCGGTCGGGATTGAGGGGGACCGGCAGGGCTGGCGGGCGGGGCGCTCCGCAGGGCTGGTTCGCAATGGCTGGTTCATCTCCTTCTCTCGGCAGAACGGGGAGCTCAAACTGGCCGACTTCGGCTTGGCTCGGGCCTTCGGGATCCCTGTGCGCTGTTATTCGGCAGAGGTGAGCCGTCGGGGGCGTCGCGGGGGCCCCTTCAGCAAGTCGGCTGGTGTGTGCGGCTGTTCCGCAGGGGACTAGCCCCTAGTGCTGTGCTGTGAAAGGAAAGCACAGCCCCGCCCCCCCCCCCCCCCCCGGCACCACGCTGGGGCAGTGGGGTCAGCACTCACTGCGAGGGGAGAGCTCCCCCTGCTGAGCCCCCGCCTCACTCCCTGCAGCTCAGCCCCACCTAGAGCTGCACTGATGCACGGGGGCGGGGGCAGCGCTGACTGGGGGGAGAGCGCCCAGTAGTGGTGGTTCATGGGGATGGGCTGTTCCCATCCTCTCTTCCCTGCTTAGCCGGTGCCTCTGCTTGGATCCCACGGCAGCCGGGGCAAAGCTAGGAAGCTGCTGCTGGCTCTGGGGGGGGTTGGGCAGCCCCATGTGTTCTACCAATAAAAACTAGCAGGATCTTATTAAAGGGGACAAGACAGAGATGCCACATTTATTACGATAACAATTTGATTTATGACCAATAACTACTATCTTAATCCTTATACACACACATTATACCTAATACCTACATACACACACACACACACACACACACACCCATCCATCAGATGTTCTGCAGCTGCTGCATAGTTACCAGTCCTGCTTGAGTCTGTGGCTTGAGTTTGCAGCTTGGGTTCGTAGCTTGTGGCGGCTAACTGGCCAGGAAAGCCGGGCACAAGGACGAGCTGGGTCTCTGTTGGGCATGCACCGATGCCCTTCCATGTTGGCAGCAAAATGTTACCCTCCTCCAAAGTTTTCCATCTCACCCATCCTTTTTGTAGGCTTTAGTTTGAATCCAGAGTCTATAGGTCTTGCTGTGTCATGCTGCCTCTGGGTTCCGTGTGATTGATCACCTGTCAATTGCAGACATGACTTTCAGCCTGGGACCGGGCTTTGATCTTCCTTCTATTGTACCTTTTCTCTTTAGGGTGGATTCTTCTTACTTTGTTAGGGCTCTTGTCTGCATCTTCAGCCGCTGGTGTTTGAACTCTATTTAATCAGGACAGGCTGGGGCTGGAAGTTGATTCCATCATCCATACATACCTCATTCACACATCTGAACTAAACTAATAAGATTACAGCAGGGTTTGCAAAAATGAAGGTTGCAGCAAGCCCTTACAAAATGGAGTAAGCGTTGTAAAATGGGGTTTGAATTACAATATGGCAAACAGTGAACAGAAGTTACACTGTAGGCAAGTGTAATAAATGGTGAACAGAAGTTACAATACTGAAACGGTGCAAGTCTCAGTGATTTAAGCAGGAATTGGATTGATAGTGAAACTTACAAAGGCAGCTGACTGAACAGCTATGGCTCTTAACAAACATCTTAATTGTTAATTAGCCAGTTATTGGGGTAACCGGTTTTATGAATGAATATTGTTTCATTCATAAAACTTTACTTATGAAGTTACATTAATAAAGTGAACAATTAAAAACAATTTCATTCATCAGTTCTACACATTCTCTGCAGGGGGGACGGGTCAGCAACCGTGGCGGGGTGCTACAGCAGCCATGGAAGGGGGCTATGGGAGGAGGGGGAAGCCACCCAGCGGCCCGCCCAGCTGCCCAGAGCTTGAGGCCAGATGTGGTCCTCAGGCCGGCAGCTCGGCTGCGCCTCCCGCGGGCTGTTCTCGGGGCAGTGGGGGTCTGACCGCCTGTCTCCACCCCCTGCAGGTTGTCACGTTGTGGTACCGTCCCCCTGACGTGCTGTTTGGTGCCAAGCTCTACTCCACCTCCATAGACATGTGGTCAGCTGGCTGCATCTTCGCAGGTATGCGGTGCCCGGCTCCCTGCTGTGGAGGGGCTGTGCTCCGAGCGCACGGGGGTCTGCAGGGCTTCCTGGGCTCAGCCCCGTCTCTCTCCCCGCAGAGCTGGCCAATGCCGGGCGGCCCCTGTTCCCGGGGAACGACGTGGACGACCAGCTGAAGAGGATTTTCCGATATCCTTTTTAACCTGGTGTTTGGGCGGCTTTGTTTAGCAAGAGGAGGGGAGAACAAAAGGCCCAGGCAGGACGACAGCCTGGGTTTCCTGCCCTCCTTTGGGTGGGAGGGGCATGTGGCTCCCAGGGGGATGGCCTCCCCCTGCCCGAAGGAGCCCTGCAGGGGGTGGTAGGATGTGCCTTGGGCAGGGCCTGGCTCTGCCTGTGGGCCGGAGCTGAGGTGCTCTCCTCCCCTCCCCCGGTTGGCTGTCTGGGGTCTGTGGGGGCAGAGATGGCCCTTAACCCACCCCACGTTGCTGGGAACCCCAACCGAAGAGCAGTGGCCGGCCATGACCAAGCTCCCAGACTACAAGGTGAGTCCCAGGCTGGGGATGGGCGCCCAGGGCCTGGCCCATTGAGGGGGGCGCTCTGGGGCCCGCCTTGTTCTCGGGGGCAGGGGGCACGGAGCTGCCCCCTCCAGCCACAAGCTGCAGCTCTTGGGTCCATGTCAGTGGGAGCCACAAACGACGTGTGACAGGTGTGAGCCCGGCACAACGGGCAGGCCCCGGGTCCGCTGGAGACGAGCGTATGTAGGGGCTGGCTGGGCCCTCGGCGCATCAGGGCCAGGGAGGGAGCAGCTGCCAGGCCCAGTCTGGGGGTTAGTGCCTGTGGGGGGGGGGGGG